AATAACATATGACATGTCAAGTCTCCAATATGCAATTTATACACAAAGCAAGAATATTTAACAACAATTGAGCCACATTACCATCCTAAGCCACAAGTACTAAATAAGTTTCAATTTAGTAACTAGTTTCCAAGGTAAACAATTGTAATATTCTAGATAAGCTATGTACCTACACAAGATACATTTAAACAAGCTTTACTAATCAATGATATTCTATATCATGTTAAGTTTAAATACCATTTTAAGAGGCCACAAGTACTAAGTATACATCAAATTAGTAGCATGCTCACAAGGTAATTAGAATACTACATTTTAAGAGATTTTCAACCTAATCATGGAAAGTCTCTAGATTTCAAATCTATCCCAAATAACCTCAAATTAATCTATGTTAAACAACATAGCATACTCATTACATATATCAAATCAAGATAGCAAAACGAGCAAGACATCATCATGTAGATTTTAATTAATTTAAATTAATTAAAACTCTAATTTTTCAAAAGTTGTTCAAATGATCCTAAATAAATATATAACAAAGACTAAGTCATAGCCATGCCATATATCAAGTTAAAAAATGAAAATAAGCATTGTACAGTCAAATAGAATTTAAATCAAATTAAATTCATTTAAATCTCTAGATTTGAAAACTCATTCAAATGGCTCCAATTTATTATAACAAAGATCAAGTGAAGGCCATGCCACATACCAAGTTAAAAGTAAATTATATGCAAGTTACAGCACACATTAATTTCTCAAATTAACATTAAAACATGCATATCACTTGTATTCCATTATAAAAGCAATTAAAACCACATAGAAAATAACCTATAACACCCTCTACCTCACAAGAGGATTGTTCCTCTTGAATCCAAGGCAAATCAACACAAAATGGCAAACCTTTCAAGGGTTATGAAGAGGAAGATGAGAGGAAACTTTTGTCTCCTAAGGTTAATGGTTTAAGGTGAGTGGAAGACCCTCAAAAATCAAGGTCAAGGCTTAAGGCTTCAAGCTTCATCCATGGAGGCTAGGGTTTTTGGTAAGGAAGGAAATGAAATAATGAATTGAAATGTGAATGGAGAAGTTAGAAATCCTCCACTCACTATGTGATCTTACACCATGGTTAATACACACAAGTCTTGGTTAATTGCACAAAAACCCTTCTTTAAAACCATAATCCCAAAATGGCCCAAAAATAATTGCAAGACTAAATGTGAGACCTACACTTGTCATCATCCTAAGGTTCCCTTCTAGGTTTAATCCTAGGTATACACTTGTCAACCATCCAAGCCAACAAGTGATCCAATCCTAGGCCAACAAGTGGATGAATCTCCACCCTCTATGTGTCAAGAAGTCATGGTGCCAAGTCTCTCCACCCCAATGCCAACAAGTGGCTCCATGAGAATATGATACTTGTTACATTTTTCAAAAATTGTAAAATGGTCATTTTTCAAAATATCTTCCAAAATAAATTATAAAAGGTCCCTAAAACGAAAAATAATTATTTTACATAATTATACTAAAACCCCAAAAGTTATGAATAATTACACTAAAGTATACATTAATGCCCCTTTATGAAAGAAGTAAGCAATTAACATGCTTTTTTATAAAAGTAAAAATGTAGATATCATGGAATTTAAATATCATGGATGTGTGCAAGGCCGGAATCAAACCCGAGCACAAAAAGTAAGGTTTTGCAAGCAAAAGTGAAAAACGAGAAGAGGACGAAATAGTGCATAGTGTCCGAAAAAATGAAAAGTGCGGAAATGACTCTATCCTCAAAGGAAGTTGTCAATCCACATAAAAGAGTCTCAGAAACCATTTCTGAGCACTCCAGACGACACTAAACGATGAGGAACTGAACTCAGACAAGAAATTTCAAAGAAAAAAATTTATCCGTGAAATTCTGAGGAAAAAGAAAAGGAAGGAAATGACTGAGTCATCACACCCTTATACATTCTAAATCTCCTTAACAATAAATTTTGGTGTAAACAAGGACCTGAATGCTGAAAAGACTAAATTATCGCTCTATAACTGAATAAAAAATTGGTAAAAAAATTCATTAAATGTGGCAAATGTGTGTGTATATATATATGAACATTATCGGAAGAGACGAGAATATTTTTAAAATTTTTTATCTTAAAAATGTCATGTGCAATGCACATGAATAAATTTTTAACAAAACAATGACCTCAAACCAGTATTTGTTACATTTTTTTAAACTTAACGAACTTATATACTCAAAATAAAGAATATGTGTGTTATTTGCCCAAAATGTAAACATTATGGATGTTTTTTTACTCTTGCCCAAATAAGGGCATTATAGAAAGAGATAAGAGTATTTTCAGAATTTTATATCTTAACAATGATTTCAAGTCCTTTGTTGCTCATTTTTCAAACTTAACACAATATAAGCAATTTTTTACTCATTTTTTCAAACTTAACCAAGTTATATATCCCAAATAAACAATATAGGTGTTAATTGCCAAAAATTAAAACATTGAGAGTGTTTTTTTCACTTTGCCCTTTTAAAAATGTGCACATGACTAAATTTGTAACAATACAGTAACCTCAAGCTCTTCTTTAATAATTTTATCAAACTTAACAATTTTATCAAACTTAACGCATTTATATACCAAAAAAAATAAAAAAATAACAAAAAAAAGAAGTTAGAAATGATTTTTGTCCAAAATTTAAACATTAGGGTAATTTTCTTAATTTACCCTAGAAAAAATATTTAATAGTGATTTAATTGTGGTAGTAACTAAAGTGTGGAAGTCAATAAATTATAAAGTACCAAAGAAATTAATATAATGTGAGAATAAGAAAGTCAATAGTTGTATTTATTTGATAATTATTACAATAAATAAAACATAATTAAACAGATTTTAGCATTCCACTTTTTTATATTTATACTTTAATCTAATATGAAATTACTCTTTAAACTCTAACTTTTCAAGTAAATAATTATTTATTTTTAAATTACATAACTACCTATCTAAATATGATTGGTCTACTACCCTCTCTCTCCCATATTAAGTACTTTCGGTGTCTTTGACAACCCCCACACCACAGACTTCGTCCCCAACGCCACGACCACCCAAATCCACGATGCAGGTCCTCTGGGTATTGTGGATTGAATGATTTCAAAAACTAAACAGATAGATCTTGGTCGAGGCACTCGTTTCCAACGTCTTGATCTGCAACCTCAGTTTTCTTTGACCAGACCATGTGCGGGAACAATGTCGACTGAACCAATCGCTGATCGACACGCGTCCTTTCTGGCAGCTGATCAGTCGCTATCACGAACGTCGCTTCCTTTGCTAATTCTTCCATTAGATCAGGCGAATTTCGCTTCCTTTGTTAATTCTTCCATTATTAGATCAGGCGAATTTTGGCTGTGTGCTAAATTAAAGTTTTTTGGGGGTGAAATTGGGGGTTTGGGAAAGAGCAAACCAACAAAATCTGATTTGCTCATCATCCGATTCACTAATACTTTGAAGACTTTACAATCCATTGTCAATATCAAATTCATATACTCGTAATTTATATGATGGCAGGTGCTGCTCAATATTATTTGAGCATAAAAGTGGTCTTTTAATATAATATTCATCTTAGAGTTATACTGTCTCATACTTAAATTTAATGAAAAATATGTAAGAACTAATAAATAAATAAATAAAGAAGATAAAAGTTAAAGGAAGAAAATAAAAATTTTAGAAAGGTTACAACATAAACAAATAAAAAAATTTGAAAGTTATAATATAAGAAATTAAAATTTTTGGGCCTTTCTATTGGTTAGAGTTTGATAGTTGGAAGAAAATAAAAATTTTAGGAAGTTTATAATATAAAAAAATAAAATTTTTGGACCTTTCTGTTGGTTAGAGTTTGAAGTTAGATAGTTGGAAGAAAATAAAAATTTTAGGAAGTTTATAATAGAAAGAAATAAAAAAAATTTGAGACATTCTTATTAGCTGAGCTACTAGGCCTTAGGCGACAACTTAAGTGGGCCTAAGAATAGAGCCCGCCTTGGATAATGGTCAATTGGCCAGTTCTTGAATCTCACCCAAGTTATACTGCGAAGACTTTGTGTTATATATATATCAATAAGTGATGTTCAACAGTTCCTTAATGAGTAGGGGGTAATATATTCACTTTTAATCTTGACTTTAAAATTTAATCATACGGCAATTATCTTGCTTACCTATTTTTAATGAAAATAAATTAAAATCAAATTGGATATGATTTTCTTCTATACATATACAAAAATTCCTTCCTATCAGTTTAGCCAGAGAATTCACAAAACAAACTAGTTAAAAATATATATATATTTCTAATCCCTTCGATCAAAAAAGACTGCTACGGTAAACAATCAAAAAAGACTGCTACGGTAAACAGTTGAGAATTTTTTTTATTGGCTTCGCTGTAACTAAGGGAATAAATTTAAAGTTGTAAGTGTAAAAAAATAAAGTGAGGGAATATTGCCTTCCCCAATAAAAAAAATATATATATATACAAGTAATATAATGAAATCACATGGCTTTTTCTATCATTGGAGACTTTAAACGGTTGCCTTAATTACCTTATCATAGAGTCGGCATGCACTGAGACCCTACCATGAGACTGGATTTATTCCAACCAAAAATTTGAAAACAACTATGGATATGCAAGGATAATTTGAAGGTGTCTTGTCTTCTCTCTTTTAAAATTTTCCCTGAGATAGATTCCTTTCATAAATCAAACAACACCACACCAATTTATTTCAATGAGGACAAAACTCAATAAGATACAAACGTATATACATCTCTGGCTCCATTCCCCATAGGACACACAACACCACACCAATTTATTTCAATGAGGACAAACCTCAAGAAGTTTGGGTATGACATAAGACACCACGTCACATGCTAACAAGTCAATTTGTGGGGTCCATCTACCATTGTGTCACTCTTCCCCTTCTTGATTTTCTCTTGTCCACTAATTGATCATTGTGCCCATAAATACCGGCTTTGCACTGTAAGAACCTTTTAAGAGAACAATGGAGATGGAGTTGGAGAGGAAAATGATTGAAAATGAGGAGGAAGAGAAGAGAAATCATGAGATTAAGAAGAAGACGAAGCTTGGAGGGTTCAGAACAATGCCATTTATCCTTGGTGAGTTTTGCATTTTAATGTTTAGCTCAAGTTGTTCAATATTTTTACATTCATGATATATATATATATATAAAACATTATGTATTTTTCAATATAACTTTTACAAATTAACTCTTGCAAAGTTATAGTACCATATAATTTTCTAGTGAAACTCTTGCGTTAGTCAATTAACTGGCAATGCTCTTGTTTTTGTTACGTACTTGATGAGAACTATACAAAAATTGAGTCTGACCGTGATTGTAATTTTAATTATAACGAATCGGACGCTTACCTTTTGACATAAAAACTTATACGGTTGGGAAATGTTGCATAACCATTCAGTATCAATATATAAGTGAAGTGAGGTTATTGATAGTGCGACAATAACCATTTTCAAAAGTCTATTACAAGTGTCTATTACAAGTGTCATGTTGGTCAAATCTTACTCTTCGTGGTTAGTTGTTACAGAGAGAGAGAGAATGTTGGGAGCCAGTGTTCTGGCCGTAGCTGATGTTTAAATGACATCTATTGACATTTCTCTTTTCTTCAGGAATACGAGTTTCTCATGATACAGTTGTGAATAGCTTCATCCCCAATCTATATTTTTCTCCAAATAAAAAATAATCATTTAAGTATGTGTTTTGCTCATTTTGTATTAATCAACTATCTATCCAAATTTTGTAATTTAGACAAATATTCAGCAAATGTTTGCCCACTTACTAAATTTTTTCTGATAAATGTGGGGAAATTTGATGAACTAACTATGTGATGGTGGCATTTGACAGCAAGTGAAATATGCGACAGATTTGCTACCTCTGGTTCTCATGCTAACATGATAACTTACTTGACCCAAGAGCTAAACATGCCGCTCGTGAAGGCATCCAACACCCTCACAAACTTTGCAGGAACCGCCAGTTTCACGCCACTCATCGGTGCTCTGATTGCCGACTCCTTCGCCGGCCGGTTTTGGACTATCATCGTTGGTTCTGTTATATATGAACTGGTCCATTCTCTATCTCCCTGTCTCTTTGTCTCTGATCAACAAGTGAACTGAAAATAAAATTTTAATAGGTCCAACCATATTTTTTTAGTTTCCTATATATATATATATATATGGATCTGGCTACCCTCTGGTATTGGTATGAAATATGTGAGTCTGTTTTTATTTGTATCTCTTAAAACAGCTCACACAAATTCAGAAAACTTTAATAAAAATATCAATAATAAAGACAAAATCGGAATTAAAATTTTTTTGTTTTACTTTATAGTCATTTTTCTTCCGTTTCCTCCCATTTATGGAAGGATAACAAAACCCACCTTCATGCCTAATTTCTGTCCCTCCAAATACCTTCCATTCCCATCTTTTCCTTTAACGGTTTATACCAAACACAATATGACATATTTGTGAAACAGCTTTAACAAATTCAGAAAACAAAAGAAAATTATTTTCTGAAAACTATAAGGCAATGTTTGATATACGGAAAAAGAAATGAAATGATAACATTAATTATAAAAGAAAAAAGAAAAAGAAAAAGAAATGAAAGGTGAAATAGTGGTAATCTGTTTGATTATTTAACGAATGAAAAGAAAAAGAAATGAAAGGTGAGATAGTGGTAATCTGTTTGATTATTTAACGAATGAAAAGAAAAGAAATGATGGTAATTATGTTTCGGAAAAGAAAGGTACTATTAGGTATTTAATAAATTTGCTTTCATACCTTTTTTTTTTTATTTATAATTTTTATTTATTTATAAAAATATCAAAAATAAAGACAAAGTCGGCATTAGAATATTTTTGTTTAACTTTATAGTCATTTTCCTTCCATTTCCTCCCATTTATGGAAGGATAACAAAACCCACCCTTCATGTCTAATTTCTCTCTCCAAATACCTCTAATTCTTTTATTTTCCTTTAATGATTTATACTAAACACAATATAACATTCTCCTCCTCCATGATCTTTCTTTTTGAGATTATGATAACAAATATTAGGTTTTTAGAAAACTGAACCAAATAAAGTTTTTGTATATTTTTCTGATTCTTAGTTATCTAAAAAACCAAAAATTATTTTTTTAATGACAAACCAAACGGACCATATGTATTTATACATTCTTCGATCTGTCGCATGCATGCAGGGACTGGTGAGCATCACAATATCAGCACTCTTGCCACAGTTTCGTCCCCCACCGTGCCCAACTCAAGAGAATTGCAAGGAAGCCTCAAACTCCCAACTATGGGTTCTCTACATCTCGCTCCTCCTCCAATCTCTTGGCTCTGGCGGTATCAGGCCATGCGTGGTTACCTTTGCCGCCGACCAGTTTGACATGAGCAAATCAAAACAGGGAGCTCGGGGCTGGAATTTCTTCAACTGGTACTATTTCAGCATGGCAATGGCCACGCTGACAGCTCTAACCGTCGTGGTTTATATCCAAGACAACGTCGGGTGGGGTTGGGGTCTCGGACTTCCAACGGTTGCCATGGCTCTGTCAATCATAGCCTTTGTTTTCGCTTCTCCTCTTTATAATAAATTGAAACCGGGAGGAAGTCCGTTGGTTAGGTTGGCTCAGGTGATTGCTGCTGCTGCGAAGAAGAGGAAAGCACCTGTACCCGCGGATCCATCACTCTTGTATGAAAACAAAGAGCTTGATGCTGCTATTTCTTCCAATGGAAGGCTTATACATACAAAACAGTTCAAGTAAGATTTGATACTACTTAATCATATATATATATATATATATATATAGTCAATTGGATTATTGTCTCTAGTGGACTGTGATTGCCAGATTTAAACTCTTTGCATCTACTAATATAACTTCTAACACTTCTTGCCTTAAGCTAGCATTTAAGTTGCATATGTACTGATTAAACTGCTTGCCCTTAAGGTCTCTTTTTCATAAGGATAGCAGCTACTTTTGACTTAGGTTTTGTTTGGCTAATACTTTTGCTTCGTACGTATTTTTTTGTTTTTGTTAGTGTATTATAACAAAACAAAAGTACGAAGTATATTTGGTAACGTTTGATGTCATTTGAATAGTACGCTTCCAAAATTGATGTCAAAATCGGAAGCATCAGAATAATTTTTTGCTTGCTTCGGTACGGTAGCAAACCAATGTTCAATTTTTTTTTTTTTTTTCTTTCTAAATGAACATTTTAAACTAGCTATTCAATTTTTCAAACTTGCAACACTTTTTACAAAACATGCTCTCATGTTTTTGCTTCAAAAAATCTGCAACAAATTTACGTTGCCAGACAAACTTCGAAATAGTATTGAACACACTCTAAAGCGGAAATATTGCTTTTGCTTTGAGTCAAAGCAAAAGCACAAAGCAACCGTGTTGCTAAACGGTCTCTTAATAACTTGATTTCTTTCACATGAAACCTAATAACTTGATTTCTTTCACATGAAACCTATTCAAACTTATTTGTTTAAAACATTTTAATTTTAAAGAAGTTCACTAAGCATCTTGTTTTGATACTTGAGTTTCTATCTTATAAAAGTGTATGATAGTAATTTGGTCCACTTTTTTCCAAAAAAGAATTTTATCATTTTCTTTCTTTTCTTTCTAGAGGTTATTGTTATGGTTTTTTCATTATTTTCTTTTCTTTTTCCTCATAATTAATGATATCATTTATTTTCTTCTCTCTCCTCTTTATCTAAAGGAATTGTGTCTGTCATAATTCGATGATCATTAATTTGATGGTTGAAGGTGGTTTGATCGAGCGGCTATAGTAACTGAAGATGACAACAAAAGCAGCGACTCAAATTACCAGCAGCAGCCAATCAATCTATGGAGGCTAGCCACCATTCATCGAGTGGAAGAGCTAAAGTCCATCATCCGGATGCTACCCATCTGGGCAGCCGGAATACTACTGGTGACTTCACATTCACATCTCCACAGCTTCACCATCCAACAAGCTCGGACTATGGATCGCCATTTCTCCCACCACTCAACATTCCAGATGCCTCCGGCCAGCTTGTCAATCTTCAGCATCCTAGTCGTGCTGGTCGGGCTCGTAGTGTACGAACGCCTTTTTGTCCCCATTGCTCGTCGGTTCACAGGAAACCCTGCTGGAATCACATGCCTGCAGAGAATGGGGGTAGGCTTTAGTGTCAACATTCTTTCTACCATTGTTTCAGCCCTAGTAGAGATCAAGAGGAAAGGGGTTGCAGCAAATCACGGCTTGCTAGACAAACCGCGAGCCGTTATACCCGTAAGTGTGTTTTGGTTGGTGCCTCAGTTTTGCCTCAATGGGGTGGCCGAGGTTTTCATGTCCGTTGGGCACCTGGAATTTCTCTATGACCAGTCACCGGAAAGCATGAGAAGCACGGCGGCAGCACTCTACTGGATAGCAACATCCATCGGAAACTATATAGGTACACTGCTAGTGTCTTTAGTACACAGTTTTACCGGGAAAGAAAGGAATTGGCTACTGGACCGGAATCTTAACAGAGGAAGATTGGATTACTATTACTGGCTTGTCACAGGAATACAAGTAATAAATCTCATATATTATGTATTTTGTGCCTACTTTTATACTTATAAGCCCCTGGAAGAGGAGGTAAAAGATCAGAATGGAGATGATAGTGTTGCATTCAAGCCATTGAATTCTGAGAAAAGTCCAAATATTGGCCAAGCAGTAGTGGAGCTCCAAAGAAATGATCAGTCTGTTTAAAGTGATCCATCAGTACCATAATTATAGATGTTGTATCATGCATGCATATAGAAATTTAATTTGTAGTATTTTCTCGCAGATTAAGTATGTGCACGGAACAAGGTGGTGACATAGGTATAAATAAAATTAAATAACTTTACCTTAATTTTATTTTCGTGTAAGAACAATGATACATCATCCAAATTCAAAATATATATGCATTTTTCTAACTGTAATGTTTCAGTTCATTACCAGACCCTCTTGTTAGAATGGGTTCAGCGACATCTCTGTCTCAGTACAAGCTTGCAATTGCTTAGAGGCATGGCTTTGACAAGATCAATATATATATATATATGTTAGTATTATAATGATCGGCAATATGATTTTTCAAAACAGCAAGGCACACTCACCTTGTGGCTGCATCCTCATCCGTTGGATTGATCCTCTAATAATGCAACACGACCATATATTATAACAATGACACCCTTGTAACTATTTTCAGATAGATTTTAGCAATCCCCACCGGAGCAAATTTTTTTATTTTTTTTCCCTCACTTTTGATATTCAACACACCAATATTCTGCAATAACGCAATGTGACTGCTATGAGCAATCCTCTACTCTATGTTCTATTTGTTACATAACTAAGAAATGGGGGATTTTGGGTGGTTAGTAAAGCAAAAACGTGAACTATAACCGAGCCGAAGGAAATGAATGCTGTAACTACCACGTAAACAGCTCCGTTTTCAACAAGTTCTAACTCCGTTACTCAGCTGCTGATGCTATAAAAAGATTGCTTGTGTACCAAGATGCAGAAGACAGATTTCTTGTAAATGCTCTGTCAACACTGCAGACTTATAGTAATAGCCAACAATAGTTCATAACCACCATGTAGATTCTTAATGTTCTGGTGTAAATTACAAGATTTTTTAGCACAACGAAGCATGAGCCTACAAGGATGTTTATTTGGCAAAACATCCAAAAGACAAAGAAATAGTGACCTTTCATCATGTTCAAGGCTCTACCTCCATTTGCAAGGTCAACGATATATCTGTGAGGCCCCAGCAAAGAAATAATAGGATGAGACAGGAAAATTACCCCCTGACGACCCGGGCCTTGCGGATGCAGGGGCATTTGGTAGCACAGGTGGTCGAGCATAAGGAGTTGTGTGCATTGAGGAGGGGTTGTAGTATCCCCGCTGCAGAATAATTTCCCTCTGCAAGGGTAACCCGTGATGCTCACTTTCGACGCCAATGAATCGATCATGAGGAACCATCTTCTGTACTGGCCTATACCTGGCACATTGGCGATACAAAATGGCTATGAGGCTTTGGTTTCACAAATGGAGAGAAATCAGAAATGAAAAACAATGTGCATCTTGTGCAAGGGCATAAATCTGATAAAAATAGTAACAATTAATTTTTATAATGCCCGTATAATGTATATTCCTCACTTAATGGCATTAGATGTATGAAAAGAAATAAAAAAATTTAAAGAGAGAGAGAGAGAAACGTCAGCACCAAATCAGCATATAATTCAGTTTCATGGGAGTTCTAGTTTCAGTTGCTCCATAGCTATGGTTTTGGGGAAAGGCCTTTTTCCCCTCCTGGGTAAGTGTTTGGTGAGAGGTTGATTGCTTGGTTGAAGGAATGTTTGAAATCAGTACGTCTCGATCAAAGGTTTTTTCCAATCAGAGGAGAGGTTTGAGGCAGGGTTCTCCTTTATCCCGTCTACTTTTCAAATGTGTAGTTGACTTAATGGAAAAATTGGACAGAAAAGGCAGACCTAAACCATCCCATGCTACAAAAAAGGCTGGTTTTAACATTTGCCATCTTTTTGCAGACGATTTAACTATGTCACCCATGCCAGCGTAAATTCTGCTGCTGGTGTTAGAGGTGTTTAAATCAATTTGAGAACTGCTCTGCACCTTCTGTCGGCCAAAGGAAAGAGCTTGGTCTTCTTTTCAAAAGCTGGTCGAAGGAAAAGAACTCTCTTGAATATTTTGGATTGCAAAGAATGGTCATTACCCATCAAGTATTTAGGGCTTCCTCTTGATGAGCATGACTTCAATGATGAAAATTGATGATGCAAATCCATCCTTGATATAGTTAATTCACCCACTTTTTTAGTGTCATAGTTTAGTAGGTTTAGTGTTTGGTTGTTAACTGTATAATAGGAAGTGGAGAGAGTGGTTCCTATTTTTATGTTTATCTTTCAACATGCTTAAATAAATTGGGGATAACCACTATATATGTTTTATCTATAAATTAACATATGCCGTATGCAGTGTAATAGTGTGGTGATTTAGAATCTCTGAATTTTTGGAAATATTATATATCAATTTCAATTAATTTTTGGCTTCCAAAACAGAGCAAAGTTTGTTGTCCTCTTTTAATTTCCAACATTTTTGGTATCAGAGTGCCGGGTTCTTTCGTGTTGGGCATGTTGGTGTTTTTGAAGAATTGTTGCAGCAGCAAAATTCAAGGAGAGGTATTTTCTTCAGCAAAATTCAAGGAGAGGTATTTTCTTGTCTTGAGTAATTCATCATGTCAACTAGTTTGAATACTCTTAATCTCTCACAATCTTTAATCCATATTTTTACTGGAGAAAATTATGAATTTTGGAGCATTAAGATGAGGACCTTTTTTATTTCACAAGATCATTGGGATCTAGTTGAATCTGGCTATGCAGATATTGAGAGCTCTAAGACTGCTGAGAAGTCAACCGATTTGAAGTCGACTGAGTTGAAAGAGCTTCGTAAAAAGGATGCGAAGGCTTTACTATTGCAGCAGGCTGTGAAAGATACAATCTTTCCTCACATTTTAAATGCCACGAAATCAAAGGAAGCTTGGACTATTTTGAAGGATGAATTTCATGGAGACAACAAGATAACCATTGTGAAACTCCAGACCTTTCGTAGAGAGTTTGAGACTCTTCTCATGAAAGGTAGTGAATCTGTGCAAGATTTCTTTTCTAGAGTTTCTGTTATTATAGATCAAATAAAAGCATTTGGTGAGGAAATTCTTATTAGAAAATTGTAGAAAAGATTTTAAGAAGTCTCCCTTCAAAATTTGATCATGTAGTCACTGCTATTGAGGAGTCTAAAGGTTTAAGAGTTTACTTTCTTAGTGAACTAATGGGTTCTCGTCTAGCTCATGAAGAAAGAATTAATAGATCATAACAGAAAAATATTGAGCAGTCATTTTAGGCTAAGGTGGAGATTTCTAACAGAGAGAAAAGTGTTGAAGGCACTTCCATGGATCAAAAAAATGCAGGACGTGGCCGAGGAAGAGGAGGCTATCGTGGTCGTGGAAGAGGACGTGGCGTCAAAATGGTGATACAGACAACCATCATAGTGATAAAGGGAATTACAGACAAAATTATAAGGGAAAACAATGCTATACTTGTAAGAAATTTGGCCATATTGAAGCATATTGTTGGGAAAGGGAAAAACAACAAGCTAATTTTATTGAATCGAAGGAAGAAGTAAGTAATTTGTTTCTTACTTGTTTAAATTCTAATGAAAGAAAAAATGATATATGGTTGTTAGATAGTGGTTGTAGTAACCATATGACAAGAGAAAGAAGTCTCTTCCGTACTTTTGATGAATTAGTAAAGTTGCAAGTTTGGCTTGGTGATGATAAACAAGTTCAAATTGAAGGCAAAGGAACCATTGTGGTTAAGAGCAAGACAGGTATTGAAAGATCAATTAATGATGTTTTCTATATCCGTGGTTTAGCTTATAATCTGTTGAGTGTTGGACAATTGACTTAAAAGGGATATACCGTCTTATTTCATGATGATATATGTGAAATTAAAAAGGGAAAATCTGATTTGTCTCTTATTAAAATTTACATGACTAAGAACAAGATGTTTCCTCTGGATTTTTCATGTTTTGATGACTGTGCACTAGTTGCCAATGTTAATGATGGGTCGAAGCTTTGGCATTTGCGTTATGGACATTTGCATTTTAATGGGCTAAAATTGTTGAGTCAGAAAAAGATGGTGTCTGGTCTACCTCCTATTATTTGCATTGATGATATTTGTGAAAGTTGTATTTATGGGAAGCAGCATCGCTTACCATTTCCAATCGGAAAAGCTTTGAGAGCAAAGATGCCTCTAGAGCTTGTTCATGCAGATATTTGTGGCCCGATAAATACTCCATCCTTAAACAATAGTAGATATTTCTTGTTGTTTACTAATGATTATACTCGCATGAGTTGGGTTTACTTTCTTACTTACAAATCAGAAGCTGTTGAGAAATTTCAGGAATTTAAAGCTTTTGTAGAAAAAGAAAGTGGGCATGTTTTAAACATTCTTCGAACTGACAGAGGGAGAGAATTCCTATCAAATCACTTTGAGTCTTTTTGCAACCTAAATGGCATCTGAAGGAAAATGACGGTAAGAAGAACTCCTGAACAGAATGGGGTCGCCGAAAGAAAGAACAGGATAGTTGTGGAAATGGCCAGAAATATGTTGAGTGAAAAACAACTTCCAAATGATTTTTGGGCAGAAGTAGTGGCAACTTCAATCTTCCTCCTTAATAAATCTCCAACAAAGGCGGTGCGCAATATAACTCCATATGAAGCTTGGTGGAAACGAAAGCCCGATGTAAGTCGTTTAAAAGTTTTTGGTAGTATTGCTTATTCTTTGATCGACTCAAATGACCGTACCAAGCTTGATAGGAAAAGTGAGAAATGTATCTTTATTGGGTATAGTGATGAAACGAAGGGCTATCGGTTGTATAATCCGGAAACTAATTATTCGCAGAGATGTTGTTTTTGATGAAAATAGTTTCTGGAATTGGGAGAGTGAAAAAATCAGATTGTGCCATTTGTTGAAGATGAAGCTAAGCCAACACAGAGTATGGAGAAAGTAACGACTCCAAAATCTTCTCCATCATCAAGTTCTTCAGGGAGCACTCCTTCAAGGGATCTAAGTAGTGATGAAGACAACAGCCACATGGATCCTACTCTTGATACTGATACGCCTCCACGTAAGTTTCAATCTTTGAAAGAAATTTATGAGTCATGCACTTTTGCTCTTATGATTTCAAAACCTGTGAGTTATGAGGAGGCACAAGGAATACAAGAGTGAGAAAATTGTAAGCAAGAAGAAATGGCAGCAATTCAGAAAAATAAAACATGGGAGCTAGTTGACTTACCACCTGAGAATGATACAATTGGTGTGAAATGGGTCTACAAAGTGAAGTAC